TGTGGGGGGGGAGGGAGGGAGGGAGGGGGAGAAAGAGAGAGGGAGGGAGGGAGGGAGGAAGGGAGGGGGAGAAAGAGAGAGAGAGAGGAAGGGAGGGAGGAGGACAAAGAGAGAGAGAGAGGGAGGGAGGGAGGGAAAGAGGGAGGGAGGGGGAGAAAGAGAGAGAGAGAGAGAGAGAGAGAGAGAGAGAGAGAGAGAGAGAGAGAGAGAATATGTGATGCACTTGCCTTGTGGGTATACATGGATGCCTGGGGTTGACATCAGGATGTCTACCTTAGTTGCCCCTCCACCACATTTTTTGAGACAGAGTCTCTCATTCAACCTGGAGTGTGCCATTTCAGCTGAGCTGGCTGCCCAGCAAGACCCAAGAGATGGAGCTACTGGCATTGCATTGCTGTCTTCTACTTCTGTGCAGATTCTGTTGATTCAAATTCAGGTTCTCAGGCCTGCACAGCACGTTACCAATGGACCCAACTCTTGGGTTGTGAATGTGATGCTCATGGTAACTCCAGGAGGTAGGCAGGGTTACCTCCACTTTGTAAATGGAACACTATAAACGGAGGCCAGAAAGCCTCCATCTCTAAGCCGGTGTCTAAGCCAGGACTGGAGGCCAGAAAGCCTCCATCTCCAAGGGCAGGCTTTTGCTGCTGCTAGAAGCTAACCAGAGCAGCTTTTTTAAAAAAAGACTATGAGAGATGCATGGCCCTGGGCCTCTTCTCCAGACTGGAGGCCCCCGGCTACCCTTCAGTGTTTTATGGAAGCACCTTTAGAAAGAGGATGTGATGCAGTAGGACCAGCCACCTCCCAGCCTCTCCCTGCGTCCCTCTTCACCCAGCAGCCACCACCCCTTATCCTGGACCCACAAGCAGACACCACACCACAGCTGGATCTGTGAGAAGATGCAGATTTATTTGGGGAACAGACTTGGCATCCTGAACCCTAACCCTTCATCGCATACCTCCTAAAAACAACCCTGGTAGCTCCGACAGTCACAAGCTTGTCCCCAGGGTTGAACCGGACCCAGAGTAGAGCAACGACCTCAGAGTCAAGGCCTGGGGCCTGTCACCGCCTGAGTAACCTCCACCCACCTACCCCCATTCCCTAGAGTCCAGGAAAACCCAACCAGAGGCCAAGTCCTGCCCACAGTGGCTGGTACAGGAACATCTGCAGGTTCCTCTCTGTAGAAAAGCAATTCCAACCAAGTCACCAAGCCCCAGCAGTGCTGGGAATAGCCAGCGTGACACTCAAGGAGAAGATGCCCAGGGACTGAGAAGAAAAGGAAGCTGAACCCCAATATCCATATTCGAGGCTGCTCTAGGAGGAGGCCTGGTTTCCGTGCCCAAGTCTGAGGGGTTCGAAGAAATGAAGTCAGAGAGTATCAGCAGCTTCCTCCAACTCAGCTTGGATGCCGTGGCCTCCTCTTCCCTAAACGTGAGGGACCTGGAAACAATTTCCCCCCATCCTTTTGGAAATAGGGAACCACAGGTCCTGAGCTGCCATGCTGCACCCAGGCAGCCCAAGGACCCAAACACACAGTGTGGTGCAAACGTCTTCAAGTGAGGTGCATGCAAGAAAACCTTCTGCCAAGCACAGTGCGTTACCGCATAGGCCGCCCCCAGCTGGAGTCCAGACTGACTCCTGTCTTCCTGGATAATGCCTGTCTCCGGCTTCTCTCTGCCAGAGAATATGCACCAGGGATGTAGCCCTTGACTTCCACGGGCTTCCACACCAGGCTCCTCTGATCCCACAGCGGATAAGCCGATTCATAGTACATCACGGTTAGCTGTAGCTCTCAGGCCTAGGACTCCTACACAATGACCCGGGGCCCATCAGTGACCCCCCCAAAGGAACTCCAGACACAGACTCAGACACTCAACATCAGGGACCATCACCAACATGCCTTGCCCTCTTCCCACCCCACCCGCAGACCCCTGTAGGTGACTCCCAGCCAAAGGCTCGGATGCTCGGGTGTCCCCTGCTACTGGTCCTAGGGGATGCCAACTGGACTTATGGGATGGTGTAGAGCATTGCATGCTGGTATATTCAGCGGGGCTTCTCCATTTCCTACACTGCCCTCCAGAGCTCTGTAAACCCTGGCGCAGCATGGACTGGGGAGGGCTGCCCTACCACAGGTCCTTCACACCTTCACTACCCAAGCGACTTCTGCACCCGCCATCTTCCTGGGTGGCCTCAAGTCATCAACCCGAGAACTAGGTTGATGGTGGCATAGGAGGAAGAGATTTGTATTAATATCTTGCTTAGGTGACATCTCTCAAAGCACACAAAAGTCCAGGGAAGGGTGGCAGGGCAAGGCGAGGCAGGGCGGAGGATAGATGTAGGAACAGGACAAGGGGCTCGGGACCACCCGGGCTCTTCTCTCGGGGCATCCTTTGCCCTGGAGGGTACCTAGACATTCTCTTCCTCGGGCATCCCAGCACCCAGGATGGGCTCATGGGTGGCCCTCTTTAACCATCCATGGAGTGGGTGGAGCAAGGCTTCAGGTCCACAGTCCAGTCCTCCTGGGACACCTGCTTGGCACTGTAGAAAGACAGATCCTGGCATCCTCAGTGGAACTCCTGGCTCTGAGGGGAGACAACACCAGTCAGCAGAGGGAAATGACTCCCAAGGCTGAGCTACAAGCTGGGCAGGGAACAGGCTTCTGCTTTGCAAGGGAATCAGAGACATGCCCCCATCCCTGTTCCTTGCTGGTCCACGGATCCTATCCCTTTCCTGCTATCTTCAGGGTCACTTCTCCTGTTCTTTAGATCCCAAAATCATCAGTGCCTGAAGAAAGGGCTCCCAGCGCTCAGCATTAGACCCCAGAGCTGTGGCCACAAGGCTAACACTGCCCCTGGCTATTACAGTGACAAAAACAAGAACTTCCTCTCTCCTGGGGCTGCCTGGAAACTTCCAGTCCACACGAAGCCAGGATCAAAGCAGGGTGTCTCTTGGGGAGCAGGGCAAGAAGCAGTGTGGCCAAGCTCCAGACCTGGGCTGTAAGGTTTGTCCCAGCAGGAGGAAGGTTCTCACACCTGTGAGGACCTCTGTCCCTTAGCCTAAGCCTAAACTCCACCCTGAGGAGAAAACAGAACCAACTAAGGGGCATGTGGAGGAGCAGAAAAGGAAAGGCAGCTATGAGGCAAAGTGGAAAGAGGAGGTGGAGATAGAGCTGAGTGCGTGTGAGCACACAAGTGTGGGGGATGCAAGGCCTATCACACCTGTACACTAGGAATGGGTGTTACCTAACAAGATCATTTCCAGTACCAAGTACCAAGCCCCACCGCTGTGAAGTCCAGGCTCCACCCTCTGGTCATACCTGGTAGATGAGCGTCAAGTCAGGAGGTGAACAAATAGGATAGCCAGACCAATATTCAGCAGGATCACCATACAGATAAGGACAGTGTTGGGTACCTGAAGGCATGAAGGAAGGTTGTCTGAGTCCCCAGGACCTCGAGACACCCCCACATCCCCAACCAGGTCACAAGGCTGGGCCGAGAAGTCAGGATTTCTGGAAGGTACTTCCTAAAAACATCCTGATTTGTCCTCGGCTGGACCCTGCATCCTGGTCCAACCGGGAGAATCCCTGGAACTAATTAACCCAATGCACCAGAGCCTCGAAAGGACATGTGGCAAGTCACATGGAGGGCGGTCTGGAGCTCCTACTACTCGCCCTCCGGATGGTTGGCTTTACTCTCAGCTGCTGTGCTGGGTTCCTGGACTCCAACAGAGGCCCAGAACTAAAGCCCTGTGGGGCTCCTCCTCCACCCCCAGGAAGTCCTCCCTGCTGTATCCGGAACGGAGAGGTGACTGGTACCCTGGAGGAATGCCATAGACTCAGCAGATACCCTCAGTCTCCTACGGGCCACTGCTCCTCTGCCTAGTGTCCCACTACCTCTGCAGTTGGCTCTTGTCCTGTCTCACCTTCAATTCCCCCGAGTCATTACACACACACACACACACACACACACACGGGGGGGGGGGGCGCTGGAGCCCCAGAGAACTTAGAGGCTGGCCTCTGTACGCAGCATCCTCACCTCCTCTACCTCCACCTCGGCCTCGGCAGCCAGCGCCACTTCCTTACGACCCTTCTTCTTGACCTTGCTCAGCCCTCGGGCCTCTGTCTTGCGCGCCTTGGCCTTGGGCTCGGCTCTAGGGACAATGGGCTTGGGTTCCAGAGTGGCGGTTGTGGCGGGCACCGGACTTCGCCGTGCAGGGGGCTGCTCCTCCGGGGCGGTGGCGGAGGCAGGGGACGGGGGCGCTGAGTTGGATCCGGAAACTTCGGGCTCCGGCTCGGGTTCGTCCTCCAAGGGCGGGGGCTCGGGAGGCCCGGTGCGCACGGCATAGCTGTGGTAGCCGCGGTACATCGCCACCTCCGGTTCCCGCGACGGCGCGGGCGGCGGCTGCAGCGCCTCAATAGCCATGTGCTCCGAGGCTGGACGTGCAGGACTGCGACGGCCCGCGCCATCGGATGGCGTTACGGGCCGACTGCCCTCTCCACCGGGCTCGCCGTTCCAGGCGCCCGGACTCAGCAGGCCGTCCTTGGACGCCCCGGGTCGGGGCCTCTTGGGTTGTGGGGGCGTCCCGGCCGGAGACGGAGGTCCGCCCTCGGGCTGCGGGGTCTCGTGCTCGTGCAGCTGCGGGCTCTCCCGGGGCCGCTCCGGGAGGCCGGCGCCCGCACCCCGCTCTGGGGGCTCCAGCAGGCTCTGCGAGTTCTCCAGGATCTCCTGGAGCAACCGACGCTTTTGATACTCTGGGCCTGCCAGGGACAACAGAAAGAGATAGGCTTCGAACCCAAGGCCTGTTTGGCAGTCCTGGGCCAGACGTCTGTGAGCCGCATTCATTTACTAGGCCGCCATTCATTGCACTGAGGGTCAGGCTGTGGTGGCAGCAATTTTAGAAACCCTGTGAGGTAGGTGAGATTGTGAATTCTGTTGCACAGAGGAAAAGGACATTAAGACATTAAGTCATTTGCCCAGCATCACACAGCAAAAGGTCTAGATGATGCGTTTATCTGATCTCTTTCCATTCATTTGTTTGAAACCATCCATTTGTTGGAAAAATGGGCTTAGTCACCCCATTCCTATTCTTTAAAAGTTTACTTTGCAAAAGCTGCTGAACAAGGGTCACCCAACGAAGGTTACTGCTGTCCTTCTTGTGACCAGCAGGGGGAACACTGTGACTAGAAAGAAGACGCACCCCCTGCAATCACCGACATGGAGAGCTGCAGTCAGAATGATGTTCCAATCTCCGCACTCAGCAGCCAGCGCCGCAACTCGGTCAAGCGCAGACTGTGTCCCCTCCCCGATTCTTCACTCAGCCTCACCCCCACCGCTTGTTGTACCCTCTAGCTTCCTGAATGACACTCTATCCCATTTCCGTACTTTGAACCAGCAACCCTCTCTTCTAGCTCCATCTGCCGGAGCATCCAGTAGGTCTACCTGTGCAGTGGCTCTCAAAGATGACTTCATGTGCTCCATCGCCTGCTCTGGATCTCATTAGGCGTGTCGCTCAAGAGCTCCACCCAGACCCACCGAATCAGGAACTCAAGAATGAGCCCAGTCAGGGTCAAGTCGGACCCACAGACCTGGCCAGGGCCCAGAGTCCCGGTCTGACCATTCGGTTAGAACCCGTTCTCCATGTGAGATGCAGAAGACAGGAGCTGCAGCCACTGAAGTTCGCAGTAACCTTTACATGCACTTAGTTCATGCCCAGAAAGTGGGCACTGTTCTTGTACCCGTGTCACAGCTCAGGGGTTGAGGGTTGCCATTCACCTTGCACAACGTCTCAAAGCTGGTGAGTAGCAGGCAAGGATTTAAACGTACGAATCCGTGTTAACCAAGGCAAAGCTGCCTGTGTGACTCTTTCTGATTCTGGGTCCTAGCTGCATGTCCCCAGAGTCCAGCATGTTATCTGACACACAAGCAGTGCCTGATCAATGCCCCCACTGTTGCAGAATATTTGTTTAACTATGTAAACATGTGTTGCATTTCTTTAATTATGTAAAGGTGTATTGCATTTTTTTATGTTGGAGAGCATTTGTTTAACTATGTAAAGGTCGTTGCATTTGTTTAATAATGTAAAGATGTGTTTACTTGCCTCCCTTAGCACCTTATTGGTCTAATAAAAAGCTGAATGGTCAATAGCAAGGGAAGAGGTATGGGCAGGACTTTTGAGCATGGAGAATAAATAAGAGGATGTATTTAGGCTCGGAAAAAGAAGAAAGAAAGGAGATGACAGGAAGGCTCCAGGGGTCAACCAGCAAGACATGCAGAAAGCAGAAAAGTAGGAAATACAGAATGAAAGAAAGGCAAAAAGCCCAGAGCCAAAATGTAGATGAATAAAAACAGGTTCAATTAAGTTAAAAGAGCTGGGTGACAAATCTAAGCTGAGGCTGAGCGTTCATAGTTAATAATAAATCTCTGTGGCTTTATTTGGGAGCTGGTTGGTGACCCAAAGAAAATTCTAACCATATCCCACAAACTTTTGAAAGTACAGAGAGCCCTTTGACCCCCCCCCCAATGCACCAGAGACCTGTTCATCTCAGCATCGCCAGCTCCCCTCAACTCTCTTGCCAAGAGAAGGGACAAGAGACAAGCTGGGGTGGGTCCCATCCACGGCTAGGAGCCTCATCTATCCCGTCCCAGGCTTGCACAGAGGCGGAGATGTGTGTCACCCATTAACCCTGTATCCTCTCACCTCTTGTTTGTACCACACCCACAGGTTCCAAAACTCTTAAGCATTCAGAGCTCTGCTTAGGCATCTCCACCTTGTAGCAAGCGAGGAAAAGAACCCACCCAAGGACTCCCCTGCCCACTCCACCTTTGGCTGGCCCTACCTGGCTGGTAGAAGTCTGGGGCCAGCTCCTTGGCCAATGTGCGGGCAATGTTGGATTCCTGGTTGGCAGCCAGGGCAGCCTGTTCTGAGGCCTCAGCCTTGGCTTTGGCGTGACTTGTCCTAAGGAGACAATATGGTGGGAGATTTAGAATCTAGCTCTCTGGCCATCCTGTCTAAGACAGCGAGTCACCCTGGAGAGAGGTTCCCACTTAGAATATGAGTATTACAATCCCCTGGCCCAGACTATGAGGCTTTCCCTAAGCCAGTCCTCTAGTTTCTAGGTATACACAGACTGTATTCCCCCAGCCTCCCTTACACTTAGGTACAGTTAGATGACCCTTCCCAGTGCATTCTGGGAAGACCTGTCATATGTTATTTCCAGGTCTGATCAATAAAGCCCTTTTCCCTGTGACTGGTTGAATACAGAAGAGGCTATCAACCCCAGAACAGGGTGTTTAACCTCTTTCATGTCACTGATTCTCCCTCCTTTGGCCAACTGATGAAGCCTGTAGACCCCTCCTCCAGACAATGTTTTGCTTTGCTATTGAGACAGGGTCTCTCACCGTCTAGCCCTGGATGGCCTCGAACTTGCTGTGTAAACCAGGTGGGTCTTGAGCTCCCAGAGACTCGCCTGCCTCTGCCTCTCAAGTGCTGGAATTAAAACCATGCACCATCCCATTTGCCAGAACCATGTTTTAATTACAGACAAAAAGAGACAGGCGAGATAGCTCAGTAGGTAAAGGTGCTTGCCAGGTAAGCCTAGACTAGAATTCAATCTTGTGGACCCATGTGAAGGTAAAAGAAAGAAACCAACTCCACAGAGTTGTCCTGTGACCTCCCTGCAAACATACACACATCATAAACATACAATAATAATAATGATAACAACAAGGTTTTAAAATGTGCAAAGTGTATGGGGTTGTGAAGAGCTGCAGCTGGATTGATACACTTAATAAAATATTTTAAAAAAACAAACCTGAGGGGCTGGAGTGATGGCTCAGTAGCTAAAAGTCTATCTATTCTGACAACCCAAGTTTGGGTCCTAGAACCTACATCAGGTGGCTCACAGCTGCTTGTAACTCTGGCTTCAGGGGATCCAACAGCCTCTTTGAACTATTGAGCACATACATCCATATACAGATGCCTGATAAAAAACAACTCTTAAGAAATACATAAAAGAACAAATTCATAATATGACACTGACAATAAAAATATCTACCAGGTCTACTAACCGTCACAATTTAAAAGTATAAATGAACAGAGCTAGATGATTTCTATTAGAGACAAAGTCGTAGGTACAGCTAGTATTTCTATGGCCTACTGCCTATTCCCAGAACTGAAGGAAATACCAACCTTCAGTTTACATGTGCACGGGCACTTTGGGCACCCGACCCAGACCCTTCATGGAGCAAATGTACCTGCCTTAGCTGCTGTGACTGCCAACTGCCCATGACTCCATGCCACCCCAGGAAACTGCAACCAGCAAAGCTACTGTGCTCAAAGGGAAAGTGCCCCTTCCCCAACCCCAGAGAGTCTCCTGCAGACCGGATGATGCCATCCTGCTCCCTCTGCAGCCCCCAAGGTGCGGGCCCCCCCCCCCAGGCCCCTGTGCTAAACTCAAACTGGTCTGAAACTGAGACCAGTCCTTACATCACCCCTTCCTTTCCTGTCTATCTGCTTTTCACTGACCCCTCTCCTGAGAGCATCTTCTCGGCATCCTAGCTTAGGGAATCGTCACCTCAGGCTGTGTCTCTTGGGACGTGGACCCCTGAATTCCGTCCACAGAACCTCTGGTTCTGCAAGACATGCAGTAGAGGAACTGGAGAGATGGCTCAGCAGTTAAGATCACTGGCGCTGGGAACTGATCCAGGGTCAATTCCCACACCCTCATGGCAACTCACAACCATCTATAAATTCAGTCCCGGGGGATCTGATGCCCTCTTCTGGCCTCTGTGGGTCATGTACACACGTGGTGCACATACATTCAGGTCAAACACCCATACACATAGAGACTTTTTTTAACTAATAAAATTATTTTACTAGAAGAAACAGAGCAGAGGACCCGAGCCTGTCTGTCAGTGCGTAGAAGGAAGACTCTTCCTGAAGTCCCACACTGGAATGCCACAGGAACAAGGCTAAACATTTGTCCTGCCGCATGCTTGGCATTGGAGAGATATTTGTATCAGCTGTTGGCACAGTCTGTCATGACTAACTGAGAAACAATGCCCACCTCAGTAACAGCCCCTATTCACAAACAGGCCGGGCGCTGTCCCGAAGGAGTTGCAGAGGAAGCTGGTGCTCCCACTCTCCTCATTTTACATAGGAGGAAACGGAGGCACAGACAGGTTAATTAGGATGCTGAAGGGCTGCCAAGGAATGTGGAAGTTGGCACTTTGGACCCTGACTCCAAATTCTGTGTATCTGATGACAGCTTTGGAGTGTCGGCTGGGGCCGAGGGCTGACCACCCTGACTGGGTAAGGCAGCTCAGCCCTGCTACATGACAGCAGGGGTTTCAGGTCACAGCTGTGAGGTGTGTCCAGAGGGGGCTTAGAGAACCTGAGGATACAGGACAAGAAAACTTCTTGTAGAGTGTCGGTGGAGGTTGGCTCCTGGGGGACGGGGCGGCAGGAATTCAGTCAGGTATGGGGCTGGAGACTTGATGAAACAGAAGAAACCAACCCAGGAACTCGGTGAGGAAGTGACGGCGCTGCAGAACTGGAGCCCACGCTCTACCCACAGGCTCGCCTTCCACACGTCTGATCTCCAATCACATAGCTCAGATTCCCAGACCCCATCTTCTCCACCAGGCCATACAGTCTCACTCTTTGCTTCAGGAAAGACTCAGTCTATAAATATACACACATACACCCATGTGCACACACAGTCAGGAGCTTCCCAGGTCACGGTGCATACACACAGGTACCTGTGTGCACACCTGCTCCAGAAGCTTCATGGTGAAAGGCAAGACTTTGGGGGATTGAAAGCTTTGCCCCTCAGTTTTGGCTCTGTGGGTTTAGGTGAGGTGAGACACTCAGATGACCAAAAACCTCAGTAAACAAGACAAATCATATTTTATTTTTTGCTTATTTACATGTGTGCCATGAGCACATGTGTATATATGCTTTGCATGTGTGTAGGTACGTGTGAGTTCACGTGTGTGTCATGCATATGGAATCCTGAGGTCCATGTAGGTAATCACCCTAATCACTCTTCTGTCTTCACTGAATCACTGAGACGGGGTCTCTCAACCAAACCCAGGGTCTTGCTAATCAGTTTGTTCCGGGTCCTGCCTTCATATTCTGACAAAAGGAACTACAGGAGTGCCTCCCCACTCACTTGGCATTCATGTGGATTCTGGGGGCCGGACCTCCATGTCTCATGATTCCACAGCAAGCGTTTTAACCGCTGAAACACCTAGCCTCTCCAGATCACATTTTAATGCAATATTTTACAGTAAAATTAGTACAAACATAAAATGCCAGATGAACAAACAAGGAAGAATATCTTAAATAAAGACGAAAAGGGTGTCTGCACCTCACCTTACCCCAGTTCAACTCCAGCAGGACCCCAGAGCCTCCGGCATGTGGCTTTCTCTTTGTACCAGGGAAGGGTGGAGAGGATAATCCTCCCCGTGTTGAATTTCTGAGAACTGAAATGAGTGGCAGGTGGGACATGTTCCCTACATCAGGATGACAGTGAAGGCAGGTGATGGTGGTGGTGGTTAGGGCCAGAAGACATTTTGACATCAGAACAGCGTGGTAGGTAAGCCCCCTTGCTCAATCTGACCTGTGGTGGATATGTATGAGAAAAGCCACTTCCCTGGGAACCTGGAACCTCAGGTGGGAGAAAGAGAAATCCTAGGCTGACCTTCCTGCTGAGAAGATGCCCTTTTTTGGGCATATGAGCTGAAGGACTCCTCTTCCCTGCGGACATGGGAAGCTGGCAGCCAGGACAGGCATGGAGATGGAGGTGGCCACGCTGTTCCAGGCATGAGGGCCGCGGAGACGGCAGGAAGCAAATGCTCTGTCCACCCCATAGCCTGGCTGGCTGGCTCCTTATCAGTCTTTCTCCCTGCACCCACTGGTCCGGACTCTCTGGGTCCCCAAGCCAGCCACCCCCTCATTCCCTGTCCTTATGTCTCCACCCTGCCTGCACCTGCCTTCTCTGTATTTGCCCTGCACGTGTGTCCAGAGAATCTGCTCCTCCTTATACCTGAGGGCCTCGCCTTCCAACCATGCTCTAAATGTGGCCCGGCTCTGCTGCACAGCCTGATTTCAGGCCTCTCCGCTAGAGGTGACCTTTTGGAGTGGGAATTGCCACACCCAGTTCAAGGTAGCTTTCACGGGGTGCATCAGGCGACCCTGGAGTGAAGGTCGGGTGGCACTGCTGTCACCCAGAGGCCACCGCTCTTCGTCAGTACCACTTGGCCACTGAGCAGTCCCCAGCATCATCACCACCTGGGGTTCATCAGAATGCCAGTTCTCAAACTACACTGGAAACCTACTGATTCAGAATGGAAGTGACCTGTGCCCTGCAAGCTGTCCAGTCCCTCTTCTGCTGACTCCAGTTTGAGAAGCAAGTGTCCACAGTGCTGAGGCCAGCTCCATCCTAAGCTGTCCCCAACCTGCTGGTGGGGGTGGGGTAGGAGCCTTGGATGACTGTCTTTAAGCACCAGCGGCCCTCTCCAGCCCAGGCTGTAATAGGAAGCACAGGGGTAGTACTTCTTTCCCTCTGGCCACTCCTACATCCAGATGTGGCCTCTGAGTGAGGGTCCCCTAGGGTGGTGCTGTGCCTGCTGGGGGGAGGGAGGGGAGCAGTAACTGGGGCAGGGGGAGGGGCAGGGAGACGAGCTCTTCTTGGTAGCTTTTGGATTATCTTTCAGCAGCCAGGTTAAAAATAAGGTTGGTAGTTCTGGAATGGTGCAGGGACATCACTCAGCGCGGCCACTTTGGGGAGCATTTACCCGCCCCCACCCGACACCACCTCTTTTTCCCATACCTAGGCTCCAGGCTGCTTGATCAGAGCCAGTATTTTTCCCTATTGCCCACACCACATATGAGTGGCTTCTTGGAACCAAAGGAGGATGATGTGCTCTGACTCCAGGACTTAGGTTGGTCTG